GCGGTTCCCTCAATGGAGGCCTGCAGGTACCTAAAAAGCCTTTTGGTAGCCAGTCTCAGCCTGCAGCCAGTCCTGTTTTCAATTATCATGTGCTACACAGCTTCCCCCCAACCTCCTCTCCCATACCCAACCCCCGGCAGCGGCTTCCACAGCTTTATGGAAAATGTGATTTGGCATCCCGTTTCCAGGCCTTATTCCAGCTGTTGGGTGGAGGAACCTCCGGAGGTTTATTCACAGAGACCAGCCTCTGCCTGAGGTTTCAGCATCTAAAGCGGTGAGATGAGGGAGAGGAGAGAGTCTGGCTTCCACAGGTTCTTCCACTGTGGTCCCATTGTCCTGCCGCAGGCAGAGGCCCCACACAAGGGACTGCTCGGGAGTGTCAACCCTCTGAGGGGTTGCTGAGCAGCAGTCTGCTCCAGGATTTCCCAGCTCTGGTTCTGTGTGTGTGTGTGTGCGGGGGAGCACATCCACCCTGCTAGGGAATTTGTTCCCACTTATCAAGTATTTATTCATTAAGATGTGCATACCCTGTTTTTCTTCCCAGTGGGGACCCAAAGTGGCGTGCACCACTGGTCCTCCCTCCTTTATGTTATTCTCACTGATAGAGAGTGCCTGGCCCAAGGACACCCAGGTAAGCTAGCATTCATATTTTTATATTACTGACCAGGATGAAAAAGGTAAAAAGACAGCAAATGGACCAAGGGCACTTAATGGGCTGAACTTGCACTTGGACTAAGTGGGCAAGGATGTGATTCACAAATAAGAAGAACGTTCCCATACAATGTTTAAAAACAGGCACATGGCAAGAATTTTGATTTGTGCTTGTGTCCAAACAGGAGATGTGACAAAATCTATATAGGTGAAGGGAAGAACAGGAGTCAGAAAGTGCTGTCACAGCCAATAGGGAGTTCAAGGCAAGAGACATTCACAGGTGGTCTGCCATTGCTTCCTTCTGCGTAGCAACCCTCGCCTTCCTTGGAGGTCTCCCATCCAAATACTAACCAAGACCAATCCCACTTAGCTTCTGAGATCTGACAAGACCAGGCTAGTCTGGGCAGCAGGAGAAACAGGAGTGCAGAAATGTGCCCTTATTGTCACCCTGTCCTTTGTGTGCAGTGTGCTACCAGCACTTAGCCTACGATTCCCCTTCTTGGCATCGCTGACAGGTGTGACAGCCTAAGCACCAAATAGACATATTGATATCAAAAATTGGTTTGTGGTGCTGACAAGCTTCTCCAGTTCCAGCCCAGAGGGATCCTCTTTTACGTCGAAATTGGTATCAACCTGCATTTTAGACCCTGAGTGTTTATATTCAGTATCTGGGTCGGGAACAACTCAGCTCCCTGCTTTCTTTGATAGAAGATGCTGGTGCTCAAGTAGTGTTTTGTCTGTTATGGGGCCCAGGACCCAGCTGGATTAATGTTCTTCCATTCTTCATCAATCAAGTGGCTACTGATTACTGTCACCCTTCAGTCCCCCATACGAGGTACCTGAGCCAGAGCTTAAGGTTCCCTTGTGGGTTTAAACACACATTTCTCCTTTAATATGCAGCAGAGAAGCAGCAAATTCATCTGCTACATGGTGTCAATTGGCCCTCATTTTATTTCTTGGAATCTGAGGGCCAAACCTAATGTGTTGTTGAAAGAGCTATGATTTTTGTTGTTCAGTCGCACAGTCGAGTCCGACTCTTTGCGGCCTCATGGACTACATCATACCAGGCGCTCCTGTCTTCCTCTGTCCTCCAGAGTTTGCTCAACTCCATGTTTGTTGCAACTATGACACTGTCTAACCATCTCATCCTTTGCCGTCCCCGTCTTCTTTGACCTTCAATCTTTCCCAGAATCAGGGTCTTCTCCAGTGAGTGCTCCCTTCTCATTTGGTTATGATTAGAACTACCTAATGTTTCTTAGGGGGAGGGTTCTCCAGTTTGGGGCTGTGGTGCCATGGAGTGGGTGAGTGGGGCTTTGATCCTGTCTTGTTCCCTTCCTGGGCAAATAACATCACAACTTGGAAAGCAATGCAAGGGAGGAAGGCTAAATGTCTGTAGCCCTGGCCAGATCCAGGGCCCCTACTGGCAGAATTTGCCTTGGCAAACCAGTGAGAAGATTCAATCACAGATCTTCTGCCCTCTCATCTGGTTAGGGTTGCCAGGTCCTCCCTTCTCCCCAGCAGGGGACTTTGGGGGGAATTCCTGGAGGGGTAGGGGATGTCCCCAATGCGATGACATCCTGCAGAAATGACATCATCATGTTGGGGACATGCCTGGACCCAAGCAGTGAATTCACCACTTTGAGTTCAGGTGCGCCCCCGCTCTCAAAAAGCATTTAAAGAGTTTCTTTAAATGCTTTCTTGCACACCTGAATTCCAAGTGGCAATTTCGCCACTTGGGATTCAGGTACATGAGGCCCCCACTCCTCAACGGACCCTTTAAATGCTTTTTGAAAGCAGGACCACACACACGCTTGAACTCCAAGCAGCAAATTCGCCGCTTGGGATTCAGGCATGTGAGACCTCTGCTCCTCAAAAAGGATCTAAAGGGACCCTTTAAATGCTTTTTGAGGAGCGGGGGGCTGTGTGCACCTGAACTCCAGCAGTGAATTTGCTGCTTGGAGTTCAGGCATGCAGCCAGTGGCTACCCCTCTCCCTCCTCTCCTGAAAGATTTAAAGGGCCCTCCAGCTGATCTCGCAGGAGGGGAGGGAGAGGGGTGGCTGCAGGTGGTCACTCTTGGGGGTGGGGCTTGCAGGTGGGGCTTCCCAAATCAGGGGATCCTCCACCCCCATCTGGGGACTGGCATCCCTACATTTGTTTTGCCCTCAT